CATACCACATCTTCATATATCTAATTAACATAAATTTTACAACATTTTCACCAAATTTTCATATCCCTCAAAATTTGTGATTTTGTTTAACCTAAAGTATGACTTTTTACAAAAATGTTCCCCCCTTTTTTTAAAAAAGTTCGACATTCATCTTTCTTTCATCTCATATATATATATATATATATATATATATATATATATATAACTCGTCTAAACATCAGCCCAACAATGTTAGATTTGTAAATTTGCTTTCGCAAATGTTTTGTTCTTCCCTCGCCGGGATTCGAACTCATGCTACTGAGATATAGTGACACCAAATCGCCTGCACTGTATCCGACGCGCTAGACCACACGACCACCTAGGCTTCACAAAAATAAAGCTTTCGGTGGCCGGGTGTTACCTTTCCTCGTCAGTTTTAATCTAGCGTCGTAATACAGTACATGATATATAAGGCATGAAGATGGAATTGTTACAGATCAGCTGAAATATCTATTGTAAAGGATCCTACAAATGAATGCAAGATACAGTCACAGAAATGATTATATTTATAAGTACGTTTGAACCAGTGACAACTCTACCCTCTACAACAGATTTATCCATCGGATGTGTACATTCTGTATATACAACTCGTCTAAACATCAGCCCAACAATGTTAGATCTGTAAATTTGCTTTCCCAATTTTTTGTTCTTCCCTCGCCGGGATTCGAACTCATGCTACTGAGATATCGTGACACCAAATAGTGATTTGAAAACAACGTTCAAACCTATGATTGCGTTGGATAAAAATCGCAATTTTTATACGTGTGCATGCAAAACAAATTTCTTGGTAGAGGGGTCTAAATACAGCACAAACAACATTTTCCAAAAGACCAAAAAAGAGTGAAAAAGTATATTTTAACAAAACGCATTTGACTAGCAGGTCGAACAAAGGATGTTCTTAAACCCTGCTGACTGCCATGGCGATTGCCAAATAAACGGATCACCAGATGTAACAAAATGGATCTTAATATTTAATTTAATACCAAACAGAAAACAATAAACTTGCGGAAAAGATGGTATACCGCAAACATGAGGTGCAAAAATTTGTACACCATATCCAGATTTCGACAATTAATGTCTCTTCAGTGATGTATATATGTATATATACAAGTCTAAATTGAAAACAACGTTCAAACCTATGATTGCGTTGGATAAAAACCGCAATTTTTATACGTGTGCATTCAAAACAAATTTTTTTTGGTAGAGGGGTCTAAATACAGCACAAACAACGTTTTCCAAAAGACCAAAAAAAGTGAAAAAGTATATTTTAACAAAACGCATTTGACTAGCAGGTCTAACAACGGATGTTCTTAAACCCATTTGTATATATATATAAATGTTGTTATAAACATTATTGAAAATTTTTTACCTTTAGTAGTGGCCCCTCTTTTTTTTTACTGTAATACCTAAAAAAAATGGTTTTTGAAAAGAATAACAACAATGTTATTCATTAATTTATGAACTGAAGTTTCTGCAGCTCATCTTTGAAAGTGCAATAGCAAATATGTTTTTAATAAGAAAACAATGAGGCATCGTATTGAAGGGAGTTTTTACTAAAAATGTCTTTTTTTACAAAGTATTTTTGTTCCTTACTAAACAAAGATTTTGATGACTGCGTCTTAAAAAGTGTAATCCTTTTCTGTTTCCTTCTAATCTATGTTGTTCATAAAAGAGGGATGAAAGATACCAGAGGGACAGTCAAACTCATAGATAGAAAACAAACTGACAACGCCATGGCCAAAAATAAAAAGACAAACAGACAAATAATAGTACAGATGACACAACATAGAACACTAAAGACTAAGCAACACGAACACCACCAAAAACTGGGGATGATCTCAGGTGCTCCGGTAGGGTAAGCAGATCCTGCTCCACATGTGGCACCCGTCGTTTTGCTTATGTTATTACAAATCCGGTAATTAGTCTAATTCGGTAGGTCACATTCGTGAAAAGGGAAGGGTATTGTAGTTACGACATAAGGAACATATCCGATATCATCTGTGAAACGGTTATTCCATAACGATCAACCAACTCGTGATGGCGTCCGTAAAATTTACGAAGGGATGATTTCAACTTCACCATTTGAAACTCTTGGTTTAATAGCTTTCTTGTGAGCAGCAATCCTCTATCAAGGAAATCATGATAGGAAATACAAGCCCGGGAATATCGTATCAATTGGGAGATATATACTCCGTATGCAGGCGCTGCTGGAATGTTGCTACATAGAAATGGAAAGTTCACAATTGGGAAGCTGAAATCATCTCTTTTGTTGTAAAGTTTTGTTTTCAACCGACCCTCATTGTCAATTTCTAGATGCAAGTCAAGATATGAGGCAGACTTAAGGTCTTACCATTCTGAATGCGTGAATTGTTTTCTCATCAAATCTTTCTCATTCATTTATATCATCATGCAATATCTGTAACAGTATTTAAAGCAGCCAACGAGTTAACCGGTACATAAATGCTGAAATAAGTGATAAATATTTTAAGAAAAATCTCTATTGTCTGTTTTTTATTCATGCTTTGACTTAACTATAATTATATCATTTTTTTCAGCACCAGTAAAAAAGGCAAATTTGGATTCATTACTTTTAAGACTGATGACAATGTATGGGAGAGAAAATAACAAGAACTCTCATCCTCTGTACGTGAGATTTGGAGCTGGTCGTTAGGCATTTTAAGGATATCATAATAATAAACATAATGCTACTAATCCAGTAGAAAGTGTAATAAGTTTAATTCCTGCATTGATGTATTTAATGACAATGCTACGCATTTTTCTCACTAATTCCTACATGAATAATGGAATGACCACTAAGTCTCTCGCATATAAAATGTATATGCTCTACATCGTAAAATAGTATGAGGTGTTAGACTAAGAGAATTTCTTTTCCGCACAATGTATTGTTTCCTTTATTGCAAATGTTAAACTATCAAAATAAAAAAACAAATGATGAAGAATGTGGTTTTTATTTATTTGTATATATATTGACTGATACAAAACTTCTGAAAAAAAATCATATGACATAATTCATAGAGAATTTGGCCAAAAAAGGAGAGAAGATACCATGGGTAAAACAAACATACAACATGGCCATAAGCAAACAACGAAAACACAATGAAGACTAATAAGAAAAAAACAAAGACCGAGCAACTAATTCGTGGAGGAAACAGATTCGGTGATAAGGCGTCACACAATAGCGGAATGGTTTGTGTCTACTGAAAACGAGATTCACAAACATATGCCGTAAATTTTCTAACCCAATTATTACCAAATGAGAAAAAAACAATGCAAGACAAGACAAGACAAGGCAATATAAAATACATCTTCTTTTCAATAAAATATCATTGCAGATTTTGGCAGTATAAAAGTACATATTTTCATCTGTGAACAAAAATATAAATTTATCGTCATCAGGCAAATGCATAAAGTTAACATTACATAGAGATGCTTGATAAAACAAATAACAACGCAAATCTTCATACACTGGGCAACATTAATACATGTTTTTCATTACAAGTGTTTTTAAAACAAATTCTATTTTCAACTAAAAGACCTTCCAGTCTCAATTTTCAAAGGAGCAGTACCACTTCTAAATTTTGCAAAAGCACTCCTAGATTTTCCAGGTATGTTTTTAATAAATATTTTTCTTCGCCAAATTCATTTTTGGACAGTCTGTAAGTACGTAGTTTGCTACGCTCGTTTGACATTAAATCATTATACCATTGTTTTTTAAATCTATTAAAACAGATATCCTCAATATTTTTATAACATGTTTATCAATAATTAAATCAGTATTACAAAAATGTTCCATATCAACTTCTTTAAACTTTGTGTGTACTCTGAAGTTCCAATGTTTCAGTCTATTATTACATATATTATTTACCCACATAAAAACTTTTTTGTTTATTCTGTTATCACACATGTTTAGCTCACCTGGCCCATAGGGCTTTTCTCATCACTTGGCGTCCATCGTCCGTCGTCGTCGTCTGTTAACTTTTACAATAATCTTCTTCAAAACTGGCCACAATCATCATTGGGGTATCTAGTTTAAAAAATGTGCCCCAGCCCGCCGACCAAGATGCCCGACATGGCTAAAAATCGAACATAGGGGTAAAATGCAAGTTTTGTCTATTTTTTTTTTAAAACCATTATAAATAGAGAAAATCTGACAAAGCAAAAATGTTCAGAATGTTGAGCTCTACTAATTGTTCGTTGACGTCAAAACTGTCAGACGACTTCTTATAAGAGTTATTGCCCTTAAATGACAAATTTTATCATTTTTTTTTTCATTTTTGCCTATAATCTTGAAAACTATAACAGATAGAGAGAAACTTTAAATTGCAAAAATGATCAGCAAGACCAGTTCTACAAATAAGTTCAATGGTTGAAATCGTCAGTCGACTACTTATTAGAGTTATTGCTCTTTGATGACAATTTTTACCATTTTTGGCGTTTTTGCCTTGTATCTTAAAAATTATAATCATGATAATAGATAGATAGAAACTTAAATAAGCAAAAATTATCAGCAAGACAAGATCTACAATTAAGACAATATGATGGAAATTGTCTGACGACTCCTTATTGGAGTTATGGTCCTTTAATGACGAATTTTACCATTTATTTTGCGTTTTGCTTTACATGTATATGATAAAAATTATAATAGATAGATAGAAACTTAAATAAGCAAAAATGATCAGCATGACAAGATCTACTAACAAGTCAAATGTTGCCGATATAGTTAGTAGACTGTCACTCTTTATAGGAGTGATTGCCCTTAAGTGAGGATTTTTTTTTACCCTCTTTTGTGTTTTGACCAAAAACTTATGCAGATAGAGAGAAACTAAACAGACTAAATAATCAGCAATACAAGGTCAACAAAACAGAGATTTTTGTCATGAATTCTATACTCGTCTACAATTTTTGAGAGTGTCCTTTGTTGAATATGCGTATAGACCAAGGTGAGCGACACAGGCTCTTTAGAGCCTCTAGTTGTAAATCTACAAATGTTATAAAAATACATGTCCACTGTTTTACAATACATGGCATCCAACCCATATCACCATACAGGGCTAAATTAGAAGTGTACTTTCCAACATCCTTAAAAAAACGCATTGCCCTATTTTTTACAACACTAATGCAAGTGTATTCTTTACTTCCCAATATTGCAGCACCATAATCAATAACAGACAAAACAAGAGTGTCGAAAAGCTTAGTAAAAGTAGAATACTCAAAACCACCATTTGCTCTGCATTTAGCAATAAGTAAGCCTAATGATCTGCTGGCTGTTTTTGCTACAATTTTCGCCATCTCATTATAATCCAAAAACTCATTTAATAATAAAGCAAGATACATATATTTTGATACAATATCTAACTGGTTTCCGTTCAACATAAATTCAAAATGTGTTTGTGTCTCAGATTGTGTTCTAAAACGAACAATTTTTGACTTGTCAATATTTACAACTAAGACATTCAGTACATTACACCATATACTTAAAACATCTAAAAAAATTTGAAGGTCATTTTCATTTTCGTCTAATAACACCACATCATCCGCATATAACAATATACAAAGTTTTTCACCATTTACATTTATACTAATATCTTATCTCTTAATGTCATCAACTAAGTTATTTGTGAAAATATTAAATTAAACGGCGATAATATACAGCTAGCCTTGTTTTAGGCCAGAATTTACTCCAAACCAATCAGTCAAATTGCAATTCAATGCTGTAGGATTTTTATATAATTCAACTGGAATATCATCAACGCCCGGAGCTTTTCCACATTTTGCTATTTTCACCACATTATACACTTCGCTAGTGGTAATTTCACCATCTAAAATTTCATCCCAAATTATATCATTATTACAATTTTCTATTTCATTACTATTATCGCTATTTTTATTTAACATTTCCCTCAAAATCATATTTCCATTTATTAATAACCATATTTTTATCATCATAAATTGATCCATCACTTAATTTAATCTCCATTGGAATAATATTTTGACGCTCGCTCCCTACTTCCAATTTTCCGCCAAAATTCCTTTTGGTTTCTATGCGAATTGATTAATTCCTCCTGCATTGAATGCCAGTATTGACGTTTTGATCTTTGGACTCCTCGGTCAAATAATTTTCGTTTTTGTACAAATATATGACGATGTTCCTTTTTCTCACTACTAAGACTACATTTATTCCAATTTTCTCCGCATTACATACACCATTCCACAACATAGTAAGCTTGTGATTCCACCACGGTTTTTTTTACATTTTCTAGCTTTATTGTTGAATGCATTGCTGATACGAATTTCTTTACTTGGTAACTTTTCAGACATTTCGGTTTTCATTACAAATACAAAGTTTTCATACACTTTATCAATATTTTGTTGTGAAGCTTCAGATTGTTCTATATTAAAATATCACACGATTAATTTCTGTTACAACAGACTGGTATACTCTTGGTATCATATTTAAGTTTTAAAACAGTTTGACTTTTGTCTATAATTTTACTGACTTGGTCTATAACTGAAAAATATAGGAACATATTCCATGTCAATAGTGAATGATCAGGTACTATTTTACGAAGATCATATCTACCGGTTTCGCCAAGACTTTGAATGATAGTAGTAGCTCTTGTTACGCTAAAGGAGTTATAAATGAGTCCAACATCTCATATGGTAAAACACAGTAGTCTACTACACTGGAACCGCGTGTCGAGACAAAAGTAAAGTTGTTACTTATAGATTTCCGACCATTAAATATGCAACAGTTAACATCAATTAGAAAGTCACAAAAAATGCTACCATATCCGTTTGTCTGAAAGTCGACTATATCACGTTCCTGTAAGCAATCTATTCCTTCGATTGAATCCGAGAAATCAGAACAACGGCTGTTAAATCACCACACAGATAGAACAAATTACCTTGTGGGATGGTGCATATATGTGTCATTAATGTTTCCATAAATTCGTGCACATTGTCTGCTCTTGTTGAGTTTTCTGGTGGCAGGTAGACGACGCAAACGTAAAACATTATATAAATAACACATAGCTGAGAGGGTGATAGAGCAGATTGTTACCCCGAGAAAACATTGTCAACTGAGGCAAAGCCAAGGTTGACAATGTCTTTTCGAGGGGTAACAATCTGCTCTATCACCTTCTCAGATATGTGCTATTTAATTTATTATACTGAATGTTCTGTCATTACTGTCTACCAAATTTCAAATTCATAGAAATGAACTATGACGTCTTGTACATAACAACCATCCGTATTTAATGAAGCGCACACTTGATCAAGCGTCTCCGTGAAGGGTAATAGAGTATTTGCCATATGATAGAGTAAATTGTCTCCCTCGTATCAACTAATCAAAATCTGGCATTTTGACATGAAGTATTATATAAATAACACATAGCTGAGAGGGTGATAGAGCAGATTGTTACCCCAAGAAAACATTGTCAACTGAGGCGAAGCCAAGGTTGACAATGTCTTTTCGAGGGGTAACAATCTGCTCTATCACCCTCTCAGATATGTGTTATTTAATTTATTATACTGAATGTTCTGTTATTACTGTCTATTAAATTTCAAATTCAAAGTAATAAACTATGACGTATTGTACATAACAACCGTCCGTATTTAATAAAGCGCACACCTGATCAAGCGTCTCCGTGAAGGGTAATAGAGTATTTTATATAGGATAGAGTCGTATTTAATAAAGCGCACACTTGATCAGGCATCTCCGTGAAGGGTAATAGAGTATTTGCCATAGGATAGAGTCGTATTTAATAAAGCGCACACTTGATCAAGCGTCTCCATGAAGGGTAATAGAGTAAATTAACACCCTCGTATTAGCCAATCAAAATATGGCATTTTGACGTGAAGTATAATAAAATAAATTGGCATTCCAACATTTATCTTTAAACTGCACCCAAATTTAACCATCAGTATTATCATCAACGATTTCAAAGTGAAATTGTCGATCAAAGTCATTACGTACTAAAAGTCATACTCCACCCGATCCATTCTTCGCTCGAATATGGATATTCCGTCGGTTATGCAATAGTTTGTCGGCTGCCTAGAATAAAATTGAATAAAATAGAATAGTTTATTATTGCTAATCATTACAGCACCGAGAGTTGAGCTGAATAATTGCTTTAAATTTATATGCATTGCACAATGATTATAATGATTCTTTAAAACCATTGGAAAGGAAAACAAATCAAAATCAAACTATTCAATTAAATCCAGCAATAAAATCCAGCTTGTACATTCTTGCTTTTTTCACGTTAAATAATATTTTGTAAGACATATAAATATATGGCATATATGAGACAATATAATAAAATGTCTATATTTTGGCAATGGGAAATACAAAAAAAAAGAATGTCTTTGGAACCTGTATTTTAATAGCACAAAACAAAGAACAAACATTGAGGATTCAAGAACTGTTGTCTGTAATTAAAAGAAAAATAAACATGGTAATTATGACAATGTAAACAAGAGTGCCCACGCTGAAATGTCTCGCCTTCTTTACTAACCATTGATTTTATGTTGATAGTCCTTAATATAAAGCTTTACTACAAGTAACACATAAACTTAACAAGATCCAAGAAAATGAGGTCAAGGTCAGATAAACCATACGAGAAATACATGTACACCTTACAATCATTCAATAAACCAAACATAGTTGACCTATTGCTTATAGTTTCTAAGAAACAGTCTTAACCAAGAAAACTTAACATTGACCAATGAACCATGAAAATGAGGTCAAGGTCAGATGAACCATGCCAGACAGACATGTACACCTTACTGTCAATGTATGCATTAAATATAGTTGACCTATTGCTTATAGTATCTAAGAAACAAACTTAACCATGAAAACTTAACATTGACCAATGAACTATGAAAATGAGGTCAAGGTTAGATGATACCTGCCAGACAGACATATACACCTTACAATCCTTCCATACAACAAATATAGTTGAACTATTGCTTATAGTTGAAGAAAAACAGACCAAAACACAAAAACTTAACTTTGACCACTGAACCATGAAAATGAGGTCAAGGTCAGATAACACCTACCAGTTGGACATGTACACCTTACAATCATTCCATATACTAAATATAGTAGACCTACTTCTTATAGTATCTGATATATGGACTTGACCACGAAAACTTAACCTTGTTCACTGATCCATGAAATGAGGTTGAGGTCGAATGAAAATTATATGACGGGCATGAGGACCTTGCAAGGTACGCACATACTAAATATAGTTATCCTATTACTCATAATAAACAAGAAATAAACATTACAAAAAATGTTGACTTTTTTTTTCAAGTAGTCACTGAACCATGAAAATGAGGTCAAGGACAATGGACATATGACAGACGGAAACTTCATATCATAAGGCATATATATACAAAGTATGAAGCATCCAGGTCTTCTAGCTTCTAAAATATAAAGCTTTTAAGAAGTTAGCTAACGCAGCCGCCGCCGGATCACTATCCCTATGTCGAGCTTTCTGCGACAAAAGTCGCAGGCTCGACAAAAATGGTACCAAAAGTTCCAGTTCTTTCCTGTTACCAAAGTAACTCAATTTTAAAAAGTTTCTAATGTGAATAAAAATTAAATCAAAGATACTATTTACTGTTTACTAGTACTTCTTGCAATATTCTATCAAATATCAGTAAATTTTTTAAGCAATACAATACATAAGTTTAAGAAATTTTTCCTTAAATTTGATACAGTGCCTAAGTTCTGAAAATCATACTTTTATTGTGGTTTGATTTATCTAGAAACTATTATGTTATAGGAAGAAAACCCTTTTACAGTTTGTTTCAAGTAGAAATAATTTACCTTAGTTTATTGTTCACACCATTTTTATAATAGATTAGTGTCACAGATTTTAGAAATAAAGTAAAATATAGTCGATAACATGAAAGAATCTCCAGTAACAGGACAAAGGTTGGTAACAGGAAAGAACTGTATTTCAAAACAATTCCTTTGTTTTCAATGTTTTAAAAAAATACATCATTACAAATTGGTCAAATTTGGAAAATAGCAGCAAAGGTTTATTTGCCTGAAATGAAAAATTTAAAAACAAATTCCTTTCTGTTACCATCTACCATACTAGAATTGCACGATTTTCTCTGCTGTTACTTACAAAGTCTTCTCTGTTATCAAAAGTCAAAAACCTGTCTTTTCATTCAAACAGTATATTATGATAACGATTATTTGATATGATGATTATAACTTATGTAACATGAACTGTTTGACAGATAGTAGGTTAACTTTGTGTTTCATCAGTAAAATTCTATTTAACATCCTTCCTGTTACTGATTCAATTCTTTACTGTTACCAAATAAATAAGTTTTCATATATCTTTATAGAAATTAAGAAATAAAAACAGCACACACTATTCTTATATACACTGTGTTTGGCAAATTGTTTAAGGGGTATATTACTTTAATGCTATATTATGTCCATTAAAAAAATATATGGTTTCTAGGTACTTTTCCATGAAATAAGTGGTTACTTCCGGTTTACTCAAGGTCACTTCCGGTTTATTTTTTTCAAGGTCATATGTCAACCAACAGGTTGCAAAAGACCCTATGGCTTTATCATGTACCAAGTTGGAGTAATAATCAATTAACCTTAAATTGAATCATTTCAGGGACAATAACTCCTATAAGATATCATTGGATTGTTTCAGACCAAATGTATCGTATCTTAATCACAATTAAGCAAACATTTTGCACTAGTTCTTTAATTTGTAATTTTAAAAGCGACAGAGGAGATCAAATAACAAGGAAAAGTCAAAATTTAGAATATGACCTTGACCTTTGACCTTGGCCTCAATTTCATTTAAATGAACCAAGGAACTCAAATCAATATACCTTAGGTCTCTATCACTTACCATTCATGCTATACATTTATATATCCCTTATGTCAAATACAGAAGGGGAAATAACTCTCATATGGAGTTTACGTATCGCTTCGGTCAAAATTGGACAAAACATCCTGAGGATATAATGAGCAATTTGGTAAAATAAATTTGTCGCTTTCTTTTACGGTTACTGAGGAGATGCTTGCACAAGGAAAACAGTGTTCGGGGAGATAACTCTTACAAAGAAAATTATTTGGTTTCGCAGGGTAAATTTCAAAGGCGCATAAACTATTCGTTATCATATACCAAATATCTAAGCGACATATTGCGAAACAAATATTTATCGCAAGAACAAAATTAGACGGAAGAAAAAAAAAATAAATAATCAGAAGAAAACCAATAGGTCTTTCCACAGAAAAGTGGAAAGACCTAATAATTAAAAACCAATTGTTCAAAGAACAATTGAAGGTCTTTCCACATCAATTTTCTAAATAATTGATGAGAAGCTAACTCTGGTTTACTCAAAGCTACTATTGGCGTCCAATCATAGGTTTCTTCATACTGATTCAATAAACATATGGTTTCTATAGACTTTTGCCTGAAATAAGGGAGATAATTGTCAACTTCCGGTTTAGAAAATGTCACTTCCCGTCTCATATGATAGCTTTATTTACACTGATTTCAAAAATATATGGTTTATATATACTTTTGCCTGTAAAAAGGGAGATAATTGGCTACTTCCGGTTTAGAAAATGTCACTTCCGGTCTCATATGATAGATTGATTTACACTGATTCCAAAAATATATGGTTTATATATACTTTTGCCTGTAAAAAGGGAGATAATTGGCTACTTCCGGTTTAGAAAATGTCACTTTTGGTCTCATATGATAGCTTTATTTACACTGATTCCAAAAATATATGGTTTATATATACTTATGCCTGTAATAATGGAGATAATATGGTACTTCCGGTTTATAAAATATCACTTCCGGTCTCAATGATAGATTAATGTATGACCATTCAAAAAATATATGGTTTCTATGTACTTCTACATGAAATAAGTGCAAAAATGACCACTTCCGGTTCACTCAATGTCACTTCCGGTTGACATTTTTCAAGGTCATATGTCACCCAACATTTTGCAAAAGATCTTATGGCTTTATCATGTACCAATATGAAGTAATAATCAATTTACCTTAAAATAAAACATTTCAGGGGCAATAACTCCAATAAGATGTCGCTGGATTGTCTCAGATCAAATGTATAATATCTTCATTACAATAAAGCAAACATTTTGCACTTGTTCTTTTATATATATCTTTAAAAGTGTTTGAGAAAATGCAAAAACAAGGAAAAGTCAAAATTTAGAACTTGACCTTGACCTTTGACCTTGACTTCATTTTCTAAGTTGGGACCTAGGGGCCTCATATAAAAACATTCCAGGGTTATACGGTTAAAGGTTTATGAGATAAAAAAACATACTGACAAATTTTTTTGGTAAAGGTAGATAACTCCTACAAAATTTCATCTAATCGCTTCGATCCAAATTAGCCAAAAATTCCTGAGGATGTAACGAACAATTAAGAAAAAGAATTTTGTCGATATCTTTTTTTGTTACGAAGGAGATGCACACAGATGATAAACAGTGAATAGGGAGATAACTCTTGCAAAGAAAATGGTTCGGCTTAGCAGGGTGAAATTTAAAAGCGCATAAACTATACGATACAATATGAGAAATATCTAAGCGACATATTGCGAAATAAACATTTATCGCAAGAACAAAATTTGGCGGAAAAAAAAAAAAAATAATAATAATCAGAACAAATACAATAGGTCTTTCCACAGAAAAGTGGAAAGACCTAATAATCAGAACAAATACAATAGGTCTTTCCACAGAAAAGTGGAAAGACCTAATAATCAGAACAAATACAATAGGTCTTTCCACAGAAAAGTGGAAAGACCTAATAATCTGAACAAATACAATAGGTCTTTCCACCGAAAAGTGGAAAGACCTAATAATCAGAAGAAAACCAATAGGTCTTTCCACAGAAAAGTGGAAAGACCTAATAACCAGAAGAAAACCAATAGGTCTTTCCACAGAAAAGTGGAAAGACCTAATAATAATAATCAGAAGAAAACCAATAGGTCTTTCCACAGAAAAGTGGAAAGACCTAAAAAGGTGATAAAGTATGTTCGGTAAGGGTCATATTTAGCCCCGAATATTAATAAAATTGAGAATGGAAATGGGGAATGTGTCAAAGAGACAACAACCCGACCATAGAACAGACAACAGCAGAAGGTCACCAACAGGTCTTCAATGCAGCGAGAAATTCCCGCACCCGGAGGCGTCCTTCAGCTGGCCCCTAAAGTCTGTTTCAAGATAAAAAAAATTAAGTTGATAAAAAGACACGAAAGAAAGTGAAATAGAACTATTTTTGCGCAGCTTTTTCTGACAAAGCGTTTAAATTTACAAACCAAATAGGCCAGAAGTAGAGATTTCGGTGAAATTTGACAAAATCGTCCGGATTTAACCAAATTTAGGCCAAGGATACATAGATCGCAGGCTTCGACAAACTAAATATTCCAGTCAGATATGTGAAATGTTCTAACAAAAGATCTCTTTTGTTTGCACATGCGCACTCTGTCTCCAGTCCAAAAAATCAATGAAAATTTACCCGTTTATATTACATTTTCGTGGAAAATCAAAATGTGTGCTATTTGTGTCGTCATGAAAGGATTGTCGTAAAATACGTTAATTTTCAATAAATAGACATATTTCCTATCAAGTCATTGTTTTAGTTATGATTCATTGTGATATTAATAAATCCTAATAAAATTTGAAAATGGGGCCTAATGGAACTTACTCCCTTTTCCGTAGTCGTACCCCGGGATTGAATTAGAAAAAGCCAGAAATATCATTTCCCTTTTTGAGACAAGATTTGATATAACTATGGATATTAAATATCATTTTTAAAATCTTTCCTGTAATTTGATTTTTAACCAATTTTACCTTTTACGAAACTGTACCTCATGACAAAACTTTTGCACATAGCACCTTTAAAGCTGTCGTCCCTCCTCTGTGGTTCTACTTTACCCGAGTGAGTTGCAACTTTGGGTTTAGTACATAATTTTTATAAACGAACATATTTTTTTTAAATTAAAATTTACATTTGTTTAAAAGTCATGCAATTGTAAGACATCATGCTATCCGATTGCTTTGTATATGATATGTTTATTTGCTCTCTAGAGTAGATAATTACCCTATTTGCCTTTAAACTTGCTTATTAAATCACACCAGTTTTTTTGATTAGGAGATAATATTCTTGTTGAAACGTGTTAGTAAACAAATTGTTCAACAATAAATATTTTTACATCCTGTTCTGTGTCACCACTTTTTGTCGTAATTCCTTGTTGAATAGAGAATACATCTGCACGGGAAAGGTAGGCAGTAACACACATGTTTTATGTTTATTAAACCCTCTATTATATCAATAATGTTTATTTTATATTTAATGAGATATTACAATTTTTCTCTTCAAGATTATAGTTCCTGAACTTACACAATGCTGGAACCACACTCATATATCCCATTCATGAAAGATGGATATATTACCAGAACATTACTATATATTGTATCTCGCAAAATACCATCATCCGCGATATTAGTACATAGAACTTATTGTTTAGTTCACAAATTAACAAACTCAGATTTGAATCTACTGGTGAAAGGTGGCTTTTGCTTTCCCATGGGTGTGTATTTTAACAGTCCCGTCATTGGGTTGATTGAAATTCCGGTCCGCTGATATGATTTTGGTGTGGTAATACGGGAGATTGATCCGTTGACCAAGCCGTGACCGATTTGTTATCGAAAAAATGTTTTCATAGGTTATTTTCATTCATTTTATCAATAAAATAAAATAGCAAATGAATATCAGCTAAGAATCAAATGTATCAAAGAAACTCAAATTTTATTATGAAGCTAATATATCAAAGAAATTCAAATTTTATTTTGAAGCTAATGTATCAAAGAAATTCAAATTTTATTTATGTAGCTTCTTATGAAATGAAAAAAAAATATATTTGAAATGTATTACTTTTGTCTTTTCGGGGTTAAATCTATAAATTCAAAAGACAACTTTATACATGCATACTATTTGTATTGACTTAAGTTTATTTTGTTGGGCTTCAATCATGTTATGAAATAATTAGTTTCAAGAGATTCATTCTGATTCCTGCTATTCAAGAAGGAGAAGGTTCGATAAAAACCCCAAAAATGGCCTCTATTTCTAGTTATTCAAACTGCAAACTAGGATTTATTGAGCACTATCATAGCTAAAACAATGACTAGATAGAAAATAGATCTCTTTGTTGAAAATTTACGATCAGCGTTTTTTCATGATGTCACAAATAGCAAATATTTTGATCTTCTTTGAATTTCAATGAAAACACGTCAATTTCCATTGGTTTTTATGAAATGGACTGGGAACATACAGCGTATACGTCGTCAAAAAAGTCTGTATGTGTGTTAATTATAACAAATGAATCTGACTTTAATATTTACCATGCGATTTAGTTTTCCTAGGCCTGAATTTGACGCCTGAATTTGGCCAAGTATAGCAGACAACACAATCATTTATATAACGTCACAGTACCCAAATTGCACCGAGTACCCAAATTGCACCTATTTAGCAAAAATAGCAGTGAAAATCTTACAAAAGAGGGACGAAAGATACCAGAGGGACAGTCAAACTCATAAATCGAAAACAAACTGACAACGCCATGGCCAAAAATAAAAATTTTCTTAGGGATTAAACAATTTGTACAGGGGTTAAAAAATTTTGTTACAGGTAACTAGCCCTGGACTTATTTGCAGCAGGATTTTACTAGCCCTGTTGGAAGAACTGCTAGCCCATCAAAACTGACCTGCTAGCCCAAGAATGCCTTACAAATCAGAGTTTGCTGCATAATTACAAATTGGGTGTCCCTTGTTTTGAAGGCGGCATTATACTCTGAAGTTAATAATTTTTGTTGACCTGCTTTTTATTCTGTTGGTAAACAAACAGTGCATGGGCTTATCCTAAATTAGTTGTTCCCACATACAAAGCAGACTATTTATTGGCGTGCTCGGGAAAATAATGGCAATAGTCTCTGTTTTTTTCATCAGCAACACGGCCGACCTTGCCCAGGGGAATCGTTCTTTCTGGGACACTATAAATTTTCCTTTCCGCTTTTCCCGGTCGTATAAACCACTAGTAAGAAATAAATCAGACTGGATTCCAAAACCCACAAAAGATAAAGATTTAGAAGAAACATTTAAAACATTAAAAACGAATTCACTTCAAAGCAATAAAAATGTCAAGGACAATTTTAACCCACGAGGAGAAAACAGCTTTGCAAAATTTAAAATCAGATAAATCAATACTAATTAAAGAAGCGGATAAAGGTAATGCGGTTGTAATCATGGACCGTGAGTATTACCGAGATAAAATTTTAGATATGTTACAAGATGAAATGTTTTATGAGGTGACAGATAAAAAAATGGACAAACAAACAAGTGCAATGATTAAAAAATTACTAAATACATAAGACTGAATTGTATAAAGAAGAGATGGATTACATTTCAAACTCTTAATTTTCAGAAAGCTATTTCTATATGGTTTACCATAAATTCACAAAAGTGAGGAAATTTCAAATGCGGTATCAGATCAGAACAGTGAATACATCGAACATTTAAGACCAAATGATTTAAAATTTCGACCTATTGTGGGCGGACCCAACAGCGTCACACAGAATTTAAGCCATTTTATAGACATTGTGATTAAACCTTTATGTCGTGAAGTTCCAAGTTTTATACGAGACGATTTGGAATTTTTAAATCATCTACCAACAACTGTAAATCCTAATTCAGAACTCGGACAGCTATTATTAATTTGATCTCGTCCTGAACATGCATGAAATATTTGCTACTGGACGTTAATAAGCAAACATCAACTTATCAATCATATCCTTCCAAGCCCCTTTTATCTCTTATGTAGTACATGTGTAACAATAGGGGGAAGTTTTGCATTATAAATATTTTTCTTCCTATGCTCGTCCATCAAAACAACCTTTTCTCTTACGCTCCAATAAGGCATTTGTTTGGACATTTTAGTTGGTTACGTATTGTTTTGATTTTTATATTATTTAGACACTTGTCCATTGTTGAAGGTCGTTTCTTGATATCTAGATGTCGTCTGAGAATTTTTTTTACATCTATGTCGATATAATGCTGTCACGCTTGCGTATAACCATTTCCTTTTATTCCCATTGGTTCACATTTATCGGAGTGTCAAGCAAACTTGAATAATTAGATTGTTTTGAGTCCGTATACTTTTTTGTCTAGACTGTTTTTTCCACGTACGAATCAATCTTAAAAATGTACAATTATTGGCTTTATTGGTGCACCTTAAGGCTTTTTTGTATTGACTTTTTTGTTATTAGCTGACCGCTTAATTGTTCTCATCATAGCGGTCGAAACCAGCGACGCTCGAGCCTATGACTTGGCCAATGATACTATTATAATCTAATTCACAGCAGGGGCGGATCCAGTCATTTTTAAAAGGGGGTTTCCAGCCCAGGATAAAAGGGGGGGGTTCCTACTATATGTCCCCATTCAAATGCATTGATCGCTAAAAAAAGGGGGGTTCCAACCCCCGGACCCCCCCCCCCCCCCCCCCCCCCCCCCCCCCGGATCCGCCACTGCACAGTATTATGTTACGGCCTACTTAGTACGGAAACTTTTATCATGTTTATAACTACACATTTTTGTTTCTTAATTTTACTATTGAAATAATATTAATATTAAGCATTGTCTTATATACTGAAGAATTGAAATTTTACAAGGACTTTTTCCTAGAAAAATTGATAGCACGGACTTTTAAAACTAGAAAATCTTATTTTTTTCATCATTCAAATATTCTATATTATTTATAATTTAGTCATTTTCCGGAGAGTTCCGGATACAAGTTTGAAAATTTCAAAGGAAAGACATATTTTACTTGCTATGGACTTATTTTCCAAGGAAAATTTATCCTTGGACTTATTTTTCTGGTAAAATTCTTCATTGTTTATAATTTAGTAATTTTCCAGAGAGTTCGATACAAATTTAAAAATTTCATAGGAATATACGTGGCTGACATATTTTACTAGCTATATGGACCTATTTTCGTAGGAAAATTTTTCCTTTGACTTACTTTTCTGGTAAAAAAAATTTCATGGACTGAATTACCTAGGAAACAAAGTCCGGGGAACAAATTTTACTACTTGACAGATTTTACTGTTATAAAAGCCCACAGAAATACCAGGTCAAGCGACAATAATTAGATTATAATGAATGTATAATATATATTGAGTTTACCCAATCTATAATTGCAGCCTTGCCGTCTTTAACAAACGTGTGAATTAAAGTTTAATTTGAAGTTAGTAATTATCTTCTTTTTCACATGATATAGGAGGGGGTCCTTTATTCATGTGTTCTCAGTTTAATTTTTTACCCCGGTTTTCTTTATTCTTAATATTTTTGGGCCACCATTCTCTATTTCTTATAGTTATGCACCCCGTTATTCTCTATTAATTCTGCACTTTTTGCCCATTATTCTCTATTCTGTAAACCCCATACAGACCCTCATATAGATCGTTCAAATCAAATACAACCTTTTTGCTGGGACCAATCAGAGACATATAAATGTCTCTGGACCAATACAGCATTTTCTCATATTGTTTTGCCAAGTGAGATATGATCTGTCAAGGACATATGTTAGTTATAGCAGAGACATTTGTATTATATGTCTATGGTTATAGTCAGTATAACCAAGGATTTATATAGTAAGTCTTAATTACTATATAAATCCTTGTTATAACTACATGTAAGGGGTTCTCTGATCAAATTATTGAAATATTTTCTGTCACTTGTTTTTTTTTAATGTATTTTTTTGTCACGGATATTATCCCTTTCTAAGTGTTGTGTCCCTTTTTTGCAACATCCTCTTTGGACCTTAAGTTTGCGGGACGAAATTTCATCTTTATACAGGCCCCTGATGCTAAAGGCGCCAGAACCTGACTGGTAGATGTATGGAAACATGGTAATTGGGATTCTCTGTCTGAACTGAGACACATGTGTTATAGTAGTCTAAGTCTATTAGAACTTATCGCAATTTCGGAATCTGTGACACTTGACCCCAGATTTTGCAACACTTGAACTATTGATGTCAAACAACAATCACTTTTGCATTGTTGCACAGACAATTTCTTCTATGACATCAAAATAATTTTTACGGGAACGTCTGTGAATGTCATGGCAGACATAAAGCGATAAGGTGTATTGTTTACATCTGTTTCTATGGACTTTTAAAAGTTCAATGTAGGTACATAATTTAGTATTTTTTGCATCGTATACTAATACAGTGTGTATTGTTAAGGTTCATGTGGACTGCGTTTTCACCTCGAAATTTACTCTGAGTACAGACAAACCTGTACATCTGGAAAAATATTAAGGCATAGCATGCCCTAGCTAAATAAAATTCAAATACATTGCATGTTTTAGAAAATTAAAAAATTAACTGGGTTTTACAGTGCACTTTTTTTCGTCCCTGCAGAAGATGATAAAATTAACCAACAGTTGAATTTCACTTGATATGGTCCACACAGGTACACAGTTAAATCACCAATTATTGTCAGATATCTATTGTCCATGTCAATCAATACAGTTCACTTCAATTATTACCTGTGGGGAAGTTCTCAAACCTCTTTCACAACTTATAGTTTATTTTGGCATCTGGAGGAATGAAAAAAAGTGCACTGCAAAATCCTGTTAAGTTTTTAATTTTCTAAAACATAAAATATATTTAAATTTATTTATCTAGGAATGCTATGCCTTAAACCTTTTCCAGATACACTTTGTCTGTACTCACAGTAAATTTTGAGGTGAAAATGCAGCCATTTTAGCCAAAGGGTCCACATGAACCTTAATTTATAGTATGGAGCTTCGAGATAATTATATTTGTAAACTTTTCAAGTAAAGACAAATTTTCCCAAAACAGTTGATTATGGTAGGTGCAAGTTCATGTGGATCTTTTTTGTGTATAAGCATAAATTCCGCTGAAAAAAAATCCACAGAAAGATAAAAGGTTGCTCTTTTTATTGGTATGATGTCGTCGTCGTCCGAAGACACAATGGTTTTCGCACTCTAACTTTAGTTAAAGTGAATGGATCTCTATGAAATTTTACCATAAGGTTCAATACCACAAAAGGAAGGTTGGGATTGATTAACGGGGGTAATGGTACTAACAGTTAAGGAATAAGGGGCCAAAAAGAGGCCAAAAATAAGCATTTTTGTAACTTCCAGACATAACTTGTGTGTTAGTGTATGGATCTCTCTGACATTTTACCACAAGGTTCCATATCATAAAGGGAATGCTGGGATTGATTTTGGGGGTAATTGCCTCAAAATTTTAGGAATTTTAGGCCAAAAAAGGGGCAAAAAACAAGCATTTTTCTAGTTTCATGACAATAATTTGTGTGTAAGTGTATGGATCTTTTTGAAATTTTACTACAAGGTTCCATATCACAAAGGGAATGCTGGGATTGATTTTGGGGGTAATTGCCTCAAAATTTTAGGAATTAGGGGCCAAAAAAGGGGCAAAAAACAAGCATTTTTCTAGTTTCAGGACAATAACTTGTGTGTAAGTGTATGGATCTTCAAAGTCAGGAGCCTCTGGTCTTTGTTAGTCTTGTATGATTTTTAATTTTAGTTCAATTATTTGTTTTGGAGTTTAGTATGACGTCCATTTTCACTGTACTAGTACACATTTTTGTTTAGCATGTTTAGGGGCCAGCTGAAGCCCACCTCCGGATGCGGGATTTTCTCGCTGTGTTGAAGACCTATTGGTGGCCTTTGTCTTTATTCTGCTCTTTGGTCGGTTTGTTGTCTCTTTGACACATTCCCCATTTCCATTCTCAATTTTACTAAAACAATCTCAGGGTTATGGATTCAATTCATAGTAATTAGTTGTAATCCAACATATTACCCTGTAATAACAATACAATATATTAATGGATGTAATCTAATTAAATAACTATTTAGCTTTGAAATATTATGTTAACAATTATGAGGATTTCTGCGCATGCTCCGACTTGATAAGATGTCTTTTTTTCTGGGGAAAAAAATGTAAAGAAAATGGATTTATAATTAAACTTTAAACGGAGGATTGAGTATATAAGGATGAAATTAATATTGTGATAGTGACGATGAACTAATATTTGAAGTTTTTTATCCTGATTATGATTTGACACTATATGGAATATTGTGTGTGAGCTGTTCTCAACAGATTGTAGGTATTCGTTTAAAACTGTTAACTGTGTAATAATAAACAACAACAAACAATATAAACATTCCAAGTTCCTGTTTTGCATACCAGCCTTACACTGTTAATCCACCTTTTTTATTACAAAACTACGATATTCATCTTTAATCACTGACAAAATGCAACCCGAAACTCCAGTAAATACAAACAGGCTCAGTCATCACTGCAAGCCTACACCACCTGAACAAGATTCAAGTAAAAAATTCGCAATGTCTTCTCCGGGTTCCTCACCCGTTCATGTTGACCCTAACACTATTCATCATGCTTCTGTCCCTGCAGGCCTAAGCTCTCTGCAATACCAGCCAACGACTGGAACTACATCTGAAACTTTACCGCAGCCAATTACATGCACTTTAGCCCAGTCAGATATCCTTCAAATAGTCTTGCAATTAAAAGAGATGATACATTGTGAAATAGAGAGGCTTAATAAAGAAAACCGATCGCTGCGTGATGACATGGATGCATTAGAACAATACAGTCGACGGGACCTAATTCGTATCAACGGCATTCCTGACGGTGGGATAGATGAATCTTCCATTCAAACAAACGAGTTAGTCAAAGATCTTATCAAAACCATCGATGAAGAACTAACACCCGAAGACATCATTCGATCTCATAGAATTGGTCAACCACGCACAAGGGAAGGCAATGAAGAAGGCCGAGTTAACAACAAGTTTTAGCCTCCTAGACAAATAATTGTCAAGATTAAGGATCATAATGTTAAAAAGAGGATCCTCAGATGCTGAAAATTCTTAAAAGGGAAAATAGAATACAAGTACGTCAGAATGAATGAGGACCTGACCAAGCCGAGGAACGCCATTGCATACAAAGCCAGACAGCTCAGCATTGAGCATCATCTAAGAGACACGTGGACAGTTGATGGGAAAATTTATGTAAAGGACAATCAAATGCAAGTCCATGTTGTCAACACAATGCCAGCGTTCCTACGTTTTGTATCGATATACTGCTGTCCTGGTTCCATGGACTTCCTTGATAGGCTAGACTACAACAACAAACAAAACGGACGCGAGTACACACCACCACAACTCATAACATATGCGGAAGCACGAGCGAAGGAATTAGCAGAGAGAGCATCTTCAAATGCATCAGCTGAAAACACGAGTGTCCAAATGTCATGATTTAACTTTGAATAAAACTGCATATATTGACAACATTTTTTTTTTGTGTACATAATTCTACATGTATTCAGACTATTTGACAGTCCTGCCAAGTTTCGGAATTTCGCAAAAACAACTATACACTGACTAAATATAGTGATGTCAAAATAGTCTGCAATTGACTTTTTGCTTTTTTTGTTTTGTTTATTTATTTGTTCATTTTTCTATAATTACATGCTACACAATTCTTGTACATAATACATCTAATTTGTAATTCATCCAAATTCCTGTAAATTACACGGGAATACTTACCTTGATCCCTGATTTGTCACGACACAAATTTTAACGTATTGAAGTTCACAACACAAACTCTCATAGTAAAATTAATTACTCATGCGTGAAAAAGGCAAAACTATAACAGTTGTTTTTACATGATGTTAAAATCCATGGTAAGGAAATTTTCATGGCTAACTTCAAGCTCCAAAAACAACTTTAAAAAGAAGATATAACTTTCAATTTGTAAATTTTATCGTATACAAGCAATCTAAACTAAACGTACAGCGATTTGTACTGCTTAAAACGTGTATGCTTACTATAAATTGTAAATTGTATGGACAGATCTTGTCAATTCAGCGATCAAATAATCAATCAGGCAATCAAAACTAAATCAATTTTTGTTCTCACAATTTTTTCTTATTTTTTACTTACACTTTTTTCACAAAACAGATGAAATGCTATGGTTTATTTAACTTTGTATACGGCCGCTCTCAGTTTGACCAATTTCAGCCAGATGTAACATAACTCATGGGGGTAGGAATCGAGTTATATCGTATGAGAGTTGGCCAATACTCACCAGGCAAAAACATCAAACAAAGACTAAATTATATTGATTTTATCTGTATCAACTTATTTCTTGCTTGTAAAAGTGTCTTGCAGGCACTGGTGTTATCAATTTTAATCTTCACGTTGTCGCATCAACTAGGCGTGTGCCTTAAACCTTCAGAGATGAAACATGTAGACTCAAATGTACAAAAAACAACAAGTGTAAATGTGAATCTTAGACAATTTATTATTTCATTTATACTATTTGTTATACAAATTTTGCTAATCCTAGCAGGAATAGAGGTAAATTCAGGTCCAAGTGACGATATCGATTCTTCTCAAAGTTCAATTAACTCAACTGACATGTCGGATTTCGGTGAACTTTTCTCAAAATCAGTCTCAATTCTTCACTTAAATGTACAAAGCCTAGCCCCGAAAATAGATCTGATTCAAGCTGAATATTCTGATTTCGACATTCTAGCGTTTAGTGAAACCTGGTTAAACAATAATCATACAGACGAATCAATTGAAATCCTAAATTACCAGCACCCCTTCCGTCATGACAGAGGTCCACACAAGGTTGGAGGGGGGATAATTGTTTATGTAAAAAATGATATACATGTTCAACGTCGAAGTGACCTCGAAAGCGAAAGTTTGGAAGCAATATGGTTAGAACTTAAATTTAAAGATAAAAAGGCTTTGCTCGGAACCTTTTATATACCTCCTTATAGTGGAACAGATTTCTGGGAAAAAATTGAATATTCTCTTGATATGGCGTCTAATGATAATACTATTAATTACATAATGGCCACTGGTGATTTTAACGATAACCAACTAGCCCCTGTTAATTCAAAAATTACACCTTTGTTAAGCCAATTTAGTCTTACTCAAATGATAGACGAACCTACTCATTTTACTGAATCGTCGTCATCATTGTTAGACCTTTTTATAACAAACAATGCTCACATAATAACATACTGTGGAGTCGGGCCACCTTTATTAGACCAAATACGTTTTCACTGTCCTATAATTAGTCTTTTGAACTTTCCAAAATGTCGTCAAAAAACTTTTAAGCGAAAAATTTGGCTATATGATCGAGGAGATTATGACAGATATCGTAACATTTTATCTGAAAAAAATTGGGATTCCGTAATAAACTTAAATAACGTTGAACAATTTACAACCGAAATAACAAAAACTATCATAGAAGCTGCTGAAAAATGTATTCCAAATAAAACAATAACTGTTCGTAAAAATGAACCTCCATGGCTAACAAATGATGTTAAAAAAAAGATAAGGAAAAAAAATAGAATCCACAGAAAGGCTAAAAAATATAATAACCAATCGGATTGGTCAAAATTTAAGAAAATATGAAATGAAGTTACCAGTTTAATAAGAAAATCAAAGGATGATTATAACAACAATTTAATTAAAAAAATCATGAACAGTAACCCGTCCACTACTAATTGGTGGAAAACGGGCAAACAAATATCCGGATTAAAAACAAACGACGCAAGTATACCTCCATTAATGGTTAATAACAACTTAATATTTGATGAAATCGAAAAGGCAAATGAATTTAATCGATTTTTTACTTCCCAGTCAAATATTGATGATTCAAGTGCTATGTTACCTGAAGAACTTCATACTATTAGTGGTGACATTAGTTATATAGAACTTACTGTTACTGAAGTTGAAGATATATTGAAAATTGTTAATCCCACAAAAGCTTCTGGCCCAGACCTCATAAGTCCCAAATTGTTAAAAGAAGCATCTTCTGTTTTGAAGTATCCCCTTTGTAAGCTATTTAACTTATCGTTAAGTACGTCTACTTTTCCAGATCAATGGAAAAGAGCAAATGTTACCCCAGTTTATAAAAATAGTAAACCGAATGACGTTAAAAACTATAGACCTATTTCCTTGTTGAGTGTAATTTCAAAGTGTATGGAACGTTGTGTATATAAACATGTTTACAATCACTTTAAGCGTAATAATATTTTAACGAAAAATCAGTCAGGCTTTACACGGGGGGATTCAGCATTTAATCAATTAATTAACATTTCAAATGATTTTGGGAAGGCTTTAGATAGC